CATGTGGTAGTCTGCGCCACACGTGCTTGAACCGACCTTTCGAGGGGTCAGCGGAGGTCGAGCCCAGGGGCAAGCCAGCCCAAGGTCCATATATACTTGTATAGACCTTGGGTTCAAGGGCTGACGTTTCCACCTCACCCGCCCCGAGTTCGGCTTCGCGTCCCAGTAAGATTCTCGTTGGCTTCTCCTAACCTTTCATCAGTAAAGGGATCGTTTCCGTGAACCTCCCCCGTTTAATACAAGGGAGCATCCTACACACACACACACACACATGTATAGACACACACACACGCACACATGTATAGACACACACACACATGTATATATGTGTGCGTGTCGCTGTTATCACGAGTGCTATTTTTGTTAACAAAATTGTTTGACTGTTTCATTACTATAGATAACATATTTCTTTTACCCTTAAGCTCGATTCAATGTATCATCTAGACAGCTAACTTGTCTCTTTACATCTTACTTCCACATATTTCCGATCATTACGAGCTTTTAACCCCCAGTGTGTGCAGGACGATCTATCTATCTATCTATCCAGGAAGTTGAAGAGCTACTAAAAAACTAGTAAAGAAACAAACTTTTCTTAGCTATAGGGTATTTTTTCTCTCAGCTTTTAATGTTTTGTGGCTGAGGTTGCGTTTTACAAAGTTTTCAAAGGATCTGTAAAAGACATTATCATGCATTGAATATTTTATTCCACACCCAATAAACTGAAACTGAAACACACTGTTATAATGCCCTTTTGTTGAGTGACGCAGTTCCATTATTTTTTACTCCTTATTTAACTTATGCAGTTAAACATTTTGATACTCGTTATGAATTTTGCTCTGGAGAAGCATGTGTCCGAAATTTTGTCCAGTACACTTCCAGGCGGGAATCCACAGACTATTTTGATGTTGTCTGGCTTTCTGCAGGGGGGGTGGTCGGGCCTGGAAAGGGAAACAGGTCAGCGGACTCTCCCAAAGAGTCGACTTTAGCAACACAGACATCAAGCACGATTTCCACACGTATACGCAATATTACGCCACCTTAGCGAGAAATGAGTCTCACCTCCACATGCATACTCGTAGGCGGACATATCGACGCACTGAGCCACCGTCGGACACTTGTCATCTGCCACAGAGTCAGAGCAGCTGTTGGTGTCAGGGTCGAATTTCTTGCCTTCCTCGCAGCAAAGCGTGGCGCCCAGCTTGGTCCCGGCAAAGCAGATGTGGAAGGCATTGCACTCCACAGTGTCCGCCACGGGCCCATCGACGTCGCCGCACTGGAAGGCTGGCGGGAGAAGGGCTCCCTCGGGAACACACTTGCCGGCGGACTCGTCGAAGCGTTGGCCGCTGTTGCACTCGAAGACAGCTGTGGCCTGGAGGGATCCTGAGCTGTCGACGAAGCAGGCGAAGTAGCTGGTGCACTCGGGCAGCCGCGGGAAGAAGCCAACCTGGATGGAGATTGCGCATGAGAATAAGGAAGAGCAAGGTGTAAGTTGTGAGGCAGGGAAGAAGGAAGATTACAAAGGTCTGACCTGGTCGCAGGTGGGCGTGTAGGGCGTGGTGGGTGTGGGCGGCTCTATGCAGTTGAGGTCACTGTGGCTGTAGATGAGGTTGTCAGGGCAGGGCACGGACACCTGGGAGCTGTCTGGGAGGCACATGATGTACTTGGTGTTGTCAAAGACGTCCGGCTTCTTGCCGTGGTCGTCTCCGCAGTGGCACTGCTCGGCCTCGGGAGAGGTTTCCTCGAAGCAGGACGCTACGCCGCGTGACTCTCCGCACATCTGCAACATAGAACTTCTAGCAGAGGTTCTCTGCTATGCAGGAGATGTCATAGGTGACATGGAGGGCAGCGTGACTGACCTGGTTCTCAGCGCAGCTGATCTTGTAGGCGGTGAGAGTTTCGTCGCCAACGCACATGACAATGGTGCCACAGTCGAGGCACGAGAGGCCGGCACTCTGGCACTGGAAGTCAGGCAATTGTCGCGCCATTTTCATCCCTTGAGCCGTCGCTGCCAGCAGCCCGACCTCGTAAAGGGTAGGATAGTTAATTCGTAGTGTTTAAGGCCAAATTCTTAAACCAAAAATTACAGTCCGCGGATGCATGAATACTATACTACGTTATACGTCCTACAATCTCTTTTGGTCTCGCAGTTTTAGCGCTCCAAGTCGCCTTTTTTTTCATTCTTAATTTTATCGGCTCCAAGGAGATAGACGCACTGAAACCTGATTCCCAAATAGCATCCCCCACGCTCCCACATATGAAGGGGATCTGTATATCAGGGTATAACTAAATGCAGACGTGACCCATACATGGATTAAGGAAGGGAGTTATTAGTGTGGGACCATGACCATTGATAGTAGTTAACTGATTCACTACAAAGGGGAGAACCACAAACTTCAGTATAAGAAAATATTACCTGCCATACTTAATGTACATAAAATGTGCACTGTTTATAATTAAAATGTGTGCAATGCCTTCTGCACATAAGATTTAGTCTTAATTCCATTTCTTACAATGGATATTCTTTGCTATGACATACTGTCTGTTTTATTTTGCTTCTAAATCTCCCCCTGTGTTCAAGGAATGGCCAGGGTTACCATTCACTGGCCGGGCATGGGATTGAACGCAGGTCTGCAAGATTGCTAGTCCAACACGCTAACCGCTGCGCCAGAACAGCGCGCACATATAGTACGCAATATTTGTGTAGGCTAATGGTTTCAAGTGTAAATGTTTTGACCTCGGTGTTACAGAGACGACGAAACAACTTACCAACAGAAGAAATTGCTTAGAAATCATGTTCTCTGATGTTACTCTGCAACAAAGAATGAGAATGATATATGAATGTGCATTATTTTACGTACTTCTCCAATTCGCATGCACGTATACGCTTGGATTTGCAACAGGAACAGCGAAGGGAAGGACAAGAAAACACACGAATATGCAATATTCGTGTGTTTTATTGTCCTGCCCTTCGTTGCTCCTGATGCAATCTGTTCATCATGAATTCCACACGCTTGAATTTGTATGCATTATACACATGCACGTCTCATCTATGTGAGTTTTATGAGACCTACCTTGGGCAGAGGACAGAAAGGAAGTGTGATCCAGCAGCTTTGGTCCTGCTTTATATACATCAACCGTAAAGAAAAGGCATTGGAGGATTTCGGGGAAAACCATAAACATAAAGTAGGAAAATAAATACGTTGAAACGATCCTCATTACAGCTGAAATGCACTTGATTAGACACTGAATATATCCACAAGTGCTTACAGGGAGAATGTAGTTAATGATTGCATATTCAGAGAGAGAGAGAGAGAGAGAGAGAGAGAGAGAGAGAGAGAGAGAGAGAGAGAGAGAGAGAGAGAGAGAGAGAGAGAGAGAGAGAGAGAGAGAGAGAGAGGAGTGTATGGGCATATGCATGGATGTATGTGGGATATATATATATATATATATATATATATATATATATATATATATGTGTGTGTGTGTGTGTGTGTGTGTGTGTGTGTGTATATATATATATATGTATATATATATGTATATGGTATATATATATATATATATATACATACATACATGCATATCATATATATATATATATATATATATATATATATATATATATATATATATATATATATATATATATATATACATATATATATATATATATATATATATATATATATATATATATATATATATATATATATATATATATATATATATCATCATCATCATCATCTCAGCCTGAGCCAATCCACTGCAGGACGTAGGCCTCTCCCATTCTTTTCCAGGTTTCCCTGTCTTGCGATGTTTGTTTCCAGTCTTGGCCCCCAAATTTCGCTATTTCGTCGTGCCATCGTGTCATTGGTCTGGCTCTTGGCCTCCTTAAGTTATTTATAGTCCAGTCTGTTACTTTCTTTATCCATCTGTCGTCTTGTCTCCGACATACATGCCCTGCCCATTGCCATTTCTTCTTTTTAATGCTCTTGAGTATATCTACCTTCGTCTGTTCTCTGATCCTCGTCGCCCTCTTCCGATCTCTCAGGCTAATTCCCATCATCGATCTTTCCATCCCTCTCTGGGCGCTTATTAGTTTCCTCTCCAGTAACCTGGTTGTAGTGCATGTTTCTGACCCATAGGTCATAACTGGGAGGACGCATTGATTAAAGACTTTTCTTTTTAAGCACAATGGTAAGGAACCTCTTAGTGTGCTACTGTGCCTGCCGAAGGCACTCCAGCCTAGACTGATTCGTCGCTTTATTTCCTGTTCACTTGATGTGCCTGTCTGCACGAGTTGTCCTAGGTATATATACCTGTCTACTACCTCTAGTGCTTCGCCTTGTACATGTATTTGTTTGAGTGGGACTCTGCTGTTGAACATAACCTTAGTCTTTTTCTTGTTCATCTTAAGTCCGACTTTTAGGCTTTCTCTATTCCGATCGTTTATTAATTGCTGCAGTTCATCAGCTGATTCACTAAGGAGAACAATGTCGTCTGCAAATCTTAGGTTGTTTAGGTGTTCGTCTCCTATTTTGATGCCCTTCCCTTCCCATTCTAGTTTCTTGAATATTTCCTCGAGGCAGGCTGTAAACAGCTTTGGTGAGATGGTGTCGCCCTGTCTAACGCCTTTTTTAATTGGTATTTTATCGGTTTCTGTGTGGAGTTTGATGGTTGCTGTCCCGTCTTTGTATATATCTTCCAATATATTACAATATACCTCCTCCACTCCCTGTTGTTGAATAGCACCTAATACTGCTGGTATTTGTACAGAGTCAAATGCCTTTTCATAATCGATGAATGCCATACACAAGAGTTTCCTATATTCGTTTACTTTTTCTCTTATTTGGGTGAGCGTGTGGATGTGATCTGTTGTTGAGAATCCGCTGCGGAAGCCTGCCTGTTCTCTAGGCTGGCTGGAATCCAGACTGTCAGAGATGCGAGCTGTAATGACTTTCGTGAACAGTTTGTAAGTAACTGAAAGGAGGCTTATGGGTCGGTAATTTTTTAAGTCCTTTTTATCGCCTTTTTTGTGTAACAAGATAATTGTTGCATTTTTCCAGGCTTTCGGAGTTTTTCCGCTGAGAAGACATTTGTTAAAAAGATTGGCTAGTTTCACTGTTGCGATGTCTCCTGCATCTAATATGAGGTCTATACTAATTCCGTCTTCGCCTGGTGTTTTCCCTCTCTTCATGCCTTTAAGTGCTCTTTTTATTTCTTCTTTTGTGATATTAGGTACGTCGCTAGTTACCGCGTTTGCTTCTATTTGTGGCTGTTCGTTTGAGTTGTATATATATATATATATTGTTATTGCTAAGATTTACAGAATGATATGCCATCTGTTCAATATTTCTATACTGAATATGTCTATAACCGTTATAATATAACACTCAACAGAAGAGTGAATTAATTCCCGCCCCACGACCCTTAAACGACCGTTATAAGTCACGCTACCGAAATTCTAACGGCACAGAGAATACAGTTAGAATAGGCCTACATTTGAGTAAATTACTATATGAAAAATTCCGTCCCTGACATAAATATGTGTATATATATACATATACATATATATAATTATAAATGTATGTATATATATATATATATATATATATATATGTATACATAAATGTCAATTCCTGTGGCATCGCCGTTAAGGTCGACGGTGAATGCCCTCTCTGAACCAAGAGTGGCCGTCCCCGATTCCCGAAGATACAAATATTTAAGAGTTAAGATTTCAAACGCTCAGCATTTCTAAATGAGTTTACGCATCAAAACTAATAAAAACAAAGCACCAGTTAGATGAAACTTATTTGATAATCAAAGAATCATCAAACAAATCAACGCAACCTCCCCCCCCCCAAAAAAAAAAAAAAAAAAAAAAAAAAAAAAAAAAAAATATATATATATATATATATATATATATAATATATATATATATATATATATATATATATATATATATATATATAAGCTACGTGCCAAGCTTTTCAATCCTGACACCAACACGGTATGACACTGTGACAGAGGGCGAATGTCTGATAGTGGCTTAGTGCATCGACATGTCTACCTGCAAGTATGCATCTTCATACTAAACTACTTCATGTTAAGTATCTTCTAAATCTCGTGTTTGTAATTTGCCATTTAAACTTCACATAAACTAACATTTGCCTGAATCACTTTGGTATAATAATTTCCTATCATCAGCATTCACTCCATCTTTTGCCTTTTCTCCTTCCTTTTCTTTCATTTTAAAGTCCACACATCTCTGCTCCAGAAGTCCAAAAGAGAAAACAAGATCTCCAAAACCGAAATCCAAGAGATACTTATTTAAACAGCGGCCGTCAGACCTTCATACCAAGTTAAATTATGGGCCCAGGAAGGATAGAAATTCCGTTCGGATATCAGTTTTAGTCTGTGACACGGGTTGTCGTTTCCAGTGTGGATTCGTATAGGATCCTCGCGTTCAAGGCTATGTCTTTGGCTGCAAGTGAAAGTGTGATCCCAGCTACACTTTAGACTGATATTCATGGTAAGCTTAAACTTTCTTGCCCGTTTCAACTCTCAAAAGAGGGTGGACGCTTCATGATCAGGGCAATAAGAAGCAATGATATGATAACTTGTATAGTATTAAGTGCTTACTCTACCTGTTTCCTTGCTTGCAGCTGCCACCCATGGAAACTGCCTACATTATGATCACAATTATGACCATTGCTAGCAACTTGGTGAACCCCACATGCGGACGATAGGCCTTGCAGGCATCTGCCCTCTTTTACATGGAGTAACATTCGGAGGGGGTAGCAAAGGTGGCGTCCACCCTGAGTGACTGCCCGAGGTTTAACCTGAGACAGGCTACCTTCTCAGAGATTAGACGTCTTGGCAGTGGCATAATTACTTTGGATGGCTATGTATATCACTGGTTGACCTATAGTAATGGTCTTGAAGAGGTAGTCATAGTTATCTCCAATATGTTTCTGCTAATTCTAGCGATAAGAATATACCCCTTTTCTGGGATTTGGCATCTCCCAGATCTTGTGGATTTAAAGCTCCTGATACCGGTGCTCCAATTCATATCGATGGACAAGTACAGTGGCATGGGTAATGTAGCCAAAGACATTGACCATATCACTGCTAGCACTCGATAGAGGATCTTCCAGAGATGGATGGTCCACTTCATAGAGGGAGGGAGATTGTGCATGGAGGTTTGCATACTGTATGTCTGATAATTTCACAGCACTCGGTAACCTGATAGACCCTGTATTGCTGTGGTATACATTCTAGTGCAAAGCCCTAAAAAAGGAAAAAATTTGCCTTGCAAGATACACTGGAAACTACTGAAACATGTTGCATGGCTCGACTGACCGGAGATCTAGACGCTTCGTTCTCTGGTGCATAGAACTCGGGCACTATTGAGTAAAGGCAAGGAACAGTACACAAGAAACACTGCTGAGGAGCTAGAAGGACATTTCTTAGTAGATGACCTTTGACCTGCCTACCCAAAGAAAACTAGACTCTAATCCCTCCTTACAGTAGATGGGCAGAACATTTTGAAGAACAACATCAAGGCTGACCCAACAACAGCTAGACATATAAATAGTGTCATGATTCAGGTGCCGGATCCACCCATCAGCGAGAAATCTCGTGCCCTGACTGAAGTTAGGAGAGTGATCTAAAGGCTGAAGGCTAATAAATCAGCAGGCATATGTAGCATCCCTGCGGAGCTATTTGTGGATGGTGACGATCCTATTGCGTAAGGTTTGCATGGCGTCCTGACTGCAATCTGGCAGTCCTGTTCCAGTCCACTGGACCAGCATAAGGGTGTGGACATCCCTCTCTAAAAGGAGGAGATTGATGAAATTCCTCTAATCATCGATGCATTGCACTTCTCAGCATACCAGGATATGTTCACACTCTAGCATGTATCAGAGACCTTAGTAGGTACTAAAGCAGCAGAGCTTGCAAGTCCACAATAGCCCATATTCTGGTACTCTTAGTTATTGAAGAGTGCCGTTGGAAGCTTCATTGTGGGCTGTTTGCACTGATCTAGAGAAACAGTTCATATCAGTGCTTTGGGAGTTCCTGAGGCACAGGGGAATTATGACTAGGATCATTGGAGTCTTAGATAGCCAGTATATTGGTACTGAAAGTGCTGTAAGGTGTGAAGGGGGAGTTTGATCAGACCTTTTGTGAAGAATAAGGGTACAGCCACACCAAGTCTACACCTGGACAGAATCTGAGGCAAAATGTTTGGAGATAGACTAGGATCCAATTCCAGAATAGGTTTTTCACTTATTCAGTTATTTATTGTTTTTTATAAAAGAAATGTTCACAGCAGACAAGCAAGTTGTAAAAATATGGTCCTGTCAGTGGTAGTCCAACACTGCTGATGGGTGGATGACACTCTCCAAGAAAGCCAAGATACTCCCATTATTACGGTTTCATAAGCGTGATACTTTGTACATCCTAATCATAGCATAGTTCTTTACCAGGATGGAGAACCTATTTGCGACAGACACCGTACTAAATGATATAATATAGTGATAAAGTTTTCCAGGTACTTAATTAATTCTGTGTAACTGGTAGCATCAGATGACCATGGATTTTATAACCACTAAAATACTAGTTGGATATGTTTGAGTAGTTAATTGTATTGTTTTATTTCAACACCTTCAATAGTCAAATAGTTGTTAACTGCCCCTTCCTCACAGGGCGGTGATGCAAGGCGTGTGTTCACCTGGCCCATTATACGACACAAGGTTAGTAAATTGATGTTCAACATCTGGGGTGCGGAAGGGATGGCGGGTCCCAGACATGTGCATAGTGTTTAAATGTGAAGACGTGGCAGGTGCATATATGCAGACTTGGCTATATCCTGCAATGCTTGATATTGATAATGCAAGTGCGATTAGTATAGCTAACTTGCAAAACTATTTTCTTTTCACATAGGTGAAGAATTTGAGAAAATATTATAATCCATCAATGCTATATTTCCCAACAAGAATTCAAGGAGTGCATTTAATAGTGATAATTGTCATGTCCATGTCTGGTTGAGAACTAAGGACTCACAGTTATCCACAGCCCCTAATTTTCTTGACAAAAGTCAGTCATTCCATCTCCCAAAGTGGTCTACCTTACACAAATGAATTGGTAAGTCTTGGGTATAAATTATGCAGTAACGAAAAGGGTCGTTAATATCAACAGCAAAAATAAAATTACATTGATGTTGTGACTGCTTTACCAACAACAGCTTAGATGACCGCTGAATGAGAAATATTTTAATAAATGGGATTCGATTTTGACGGTTAAAAACCATGTGGTGTAGAGAAGGAGAAAATACATTTCATTCCAGTGCTGGTAACTTTAGTTTATTCGGTCAGTATTCCAATTTTACTTCATTTAGGCAGTGATGAAATATCCCAATTCTTTCCTATCTCTCACTCCTTGATGTTAGACAAAACCCAATGAATTTTCTGCCCCCGTTGGCGCTTCCCCTTTCCTCTCTTGCGTCTTCCTCCGTGGCAACACAGCCAAAACGAAGAGACTTTCGACACGCATCACTGGGGTTCCTCAGAAGGGCGCCAGATCCGAGCAGCCTCCAGACACTCGTTCGCCGAGCACTCTCCCTCGACGCAGAAGCCACGCTCGCTGTTGAACACGTGGCCCTCGGGACATGACAACGGCTCTCCCACCGCGCTCCCTGAGGCGCAGATGTGGAAATGGCTGCAGTCGATCGTGTCCGGAAATGCCCCGTCGTCACAGCCGCATACGAAAGGACGAGGCCGAAGGTCCTCCGCCGGCACGCACTTCGCAGCGCCTTCGTCGTAGAGCTCGCCAGCGCCGCATTCGAACACTCGCGCCGGCTCGCCAGTCGCCGGGCACGCGTAGAAGGAGGTGCACGTCAGCTTGAAGTATCCGATCTGTGGGTTTAGGTTATGTTGCTGTTAATACCATAGTAATGATAATGATGTTCAGCGATTATTTTTGTTCTTGTCATTACTATAACTATTATCGCATGGGTAGACCATTATTATCCTTATTATTAACGTTATTGTCATTATAATGATCTTAATCATCATTATAACCATAACGATTATTCAATACCGTTGCAATTATCACAGATAAGAAAGAGCACGCGAGAGCATAATTACACGAAGAAAACGGAGAAGAAACCAGCAATACGACCTCATAGGAACAGCCAAGGCAAAGGGGACTCACGTCGTCACACACGATGGGCTCGCGGGTCGTGGTGGTCGTTGGCAAGCCGCACGAATTCCCGACGGCGTCAAACACCTCGCCTTCGCCCGAGCACGAGGAGGAGACTTGGCTCCCGTCGGGTAAGCACATCACGAACTTCCGCGGGTCGTAGGGGTCGGCCAGGAAGCCCTCGCTGACTTGACACGCGCAGGAACCGGCTTCGGGAGCGCTCTTCTCGTAGCAGGAGGAGAAGTTGCCCGAGACTCCGCATAGCTAGAGTAGGGGAAGGAGAGGGAGAGAAAGAGGGGAGAAGAGAGGGAGAGGGGAGAAGAGAGAGAGAGAGGGAGAGGAAAAGAGAGAGAGAGAGAGAGAGAGAGAAAGAGAGAGGAGAGAGAGAGAGAGAGAGGAGGAGAGAGAGAGAGAGAGAGAGAGAGAGGAGAGAGAGAGAGAGAGAGAGAGAGAGAGGAGAGAGAGAGAGAGAGAGAGAGAGAGAGAGAGAGAGAGAGAGAGAGAGAGAGAGAGAGAGAGAGAGAGAGAGAGAGGAGAGAGAGAGAGGAGAGAGAGAGGAGAGAGAGAGAGAGAGGAGAGAAGAGAGAGAGAGAGAGAGGAGAGAGAGGAGAGAGAGGAGAGAGGGAGAGAGGGAGAGAGAGAGAGAGAGAGAGAGAGAGAGAGAGAGGAGAGAGAGAGAGAGAGAGAGAGGAGAAGAGAGAGAGAGAGGAGAGAGAGAGAGAAGAGGAGAGAGAGAGAGAGGGAGAGAGAGGAGAGGAGAGGAAGAGAGAGAGAGAGAGAGAGAGAGAGAGAGAGAAGAGAGAGAGAGAGAGGAGAGAGAGAGAGAGAGAGAGAGAGAGAGAGAGAGAGAGAGAGAGAGAGAGAAGAGATAAAGAAAGAGATAGATAGATAGATAGAGGAGAGATAAAGATAGAGAGAGAGAGATAAAGATAGAAATAAAGACAGATAGAAAGACAGAGAAGAGGAGACGTCAATACATGCATACACAAATAAACCACACATCACTTCACGAACCACAGCCAACGAATCCACCACTAGGTAGCAATGTCAGACAAACCAATAACCTGATTATCTTTACAGCTGACTTCTAAGCCCTCGGTTCCAGGTCCGCTGCACATGGAGATGGAGGTGCAACTGGAGCAGAAGATGCCGCTGCTGGGGCACGTAAAGGGCGTCGCTCGAGGCACCGCCGTCAGCGCCATCTTTTGGAGAGAGAAGGAGATGGGTGAACAGGTGGGTAGGAGTAGGCAAGTAGTTATGTGTAAATCTATAATGAATAGATTGGGATACATAGATAGTCATATAGATAGATAGTTAAATATATATAGATAGGTAAATAACTAGACAGATAAACAGAGAAAGATAGATTTCTACCCAGTTGCTATTTTGAATCTAGAATTGAACATCAGTATAATGTGAGGGTAAAACAACGTAAAAGACGAGAGCACATTATAAAACATTTCTTTCATTATACACACCAAACAACAACATATAGAATAACTTTACCACGAGGAGCACCAGGCGAGACATTGTCAGGAGACACAGCTGTTGCGTCTAGAATAATATAGTGCATGACGAAATGAGGAATGTCAGAAAATTTTAAATCTTATATACACGAATATGATTCACAGCGATGAGGTAAAAAAAGAAAGAAAGAAAAAAAAAAAACAGAGAGAGAGAGATAGAAATCGTTTCTAATCAGGGTCGTGTTCAGGAGTATGAAGGGGTTAGAGGGTGAAATAACGATTTTTTAAAACGAATTTTCCTGATTTTTGAATGGGAGGTACGCAAGCATTGCAGGTTAAAAGTCGGATTTAATTGTTGCTTTCGACAATTATCACCGCAAACGAAGTATATAGTCTTGTGTGTGTGTATCTGTAATCATATCTACACAAATCTATATCTACATCTACATGGGGTCTACATCGGATGTACAAGGGATTAGCTTCAAATTACAGAAGTGAATCCACTCACCTTGGCGTTTCAGGAAGAAGTGTTGGAACCCTGTGCAGATTAGCGGGTTTTGATGTTCCATTTATACTGACAGTTCCTCGTTCATTTTTTTTCTTCTTAAATATATGCTCTTGCAACACCTGTCAATCTTACGAACAACTTGTCAAGTAACAACGACTCCTTGTTGACTCCATCTGGTCCTATATTGACCGACTTAATGATTTTATTGGATGTCGTCTGCGGAATGGGAAGTCTCTTAAGGGCGCTGATTGCACGAACGCGGGCATTCCCTTAGGATTTAATGAGCGTTGAAAAGAAAGCAAAATAAGATACACAGTATTCAAATT